GACCCCCCTCTTCTCTCCCTTTTTTTTTTTTTTTTTTTTTTTTTTTTACCTGCACCAAGATTATGGATCGTGTGAAGCTCTGATCACATTTGTGTAAATCCAGTGTTTGCAGTGAGTTAAATAGAATTAAATACAGATGAAGAGAGACAATCAGCTAATGAAGGATATCAGGCTATGATTGGCTGAACTACACAGAGCGTCATCACCTCACCATAGTCAATACTGTGAGGTTGATCACACATGGCAACACTGACTGGTTTAGTGGAGTTAGTTATGATGTCCTGTAAATGGAACTTTTGTCTCTTAGATAATCAAAGACACACGAGGAGATCGTCCTTTTCTTTGTCGCCTCATCGTCCAGTCTGTCCGTGTCATATCAAAGCATCCGATGATGACAACACCATAAAAGCCCATCATTAAAACCACACTCTCCCTTTTTTTGTCTATTGTAAGTGCATATTTTTTCTTCCCTTTTTTTTGATATCAAAATGTGGTTCCACGTAGCGTTTAGAAATTGCACAAATATCCACACCTGTGCAGCGTCGCAGTTTGTCTCCACACGCTCAGTGTTCGTACAGACTCAGTTTAAGCTCACGCTGGCAAATAGTAAAGTGGAAATTGACATCTTTAGAAAAAAGAAAAATTAGGTCCACCTTGCATTTGCGTGGCGCTCCCTCCTTCTGCACTCGGCGTAATCCATCGGGGTGTGACGACGGGATCAGCAGACAGATATTAGTAGTGTTACCGAAGAGCTCTCACAGGACATGCAGGTTACGGGAGGAACGAATAAATACTTGGAGGGAGTCGCTCTGTTCGCCTCTGGGTCGTCCACAACATACACCTCGTCCAGAGTGTGTCCCTGAGAGGATGAGGAAATAAGACAAGCGCTCGTTAAACCAGGGATTTGGGTTCTATTTTTTTGGTTTTATATTTTTCATGTTCTGTAAACTCACCCGGGTTTGTTTCCATGTTACATTAGCATTGCTCTCATGGCTGCTTTGCTGATTCGTTTACGATTTTTCCTCATCCTTCTCTTCACGTGGTTGGATTGAGCCGGGGGTCTGGGCCCTGTTGGAGCCGCAGGCCGTCGCGTGGTGGTCGTGGCGGTCGTGGTGGTCGTGGTGGACGTGGTGGACGGTGACGTCACTGTGGGAAAATAGGTGGTGTTTTTTGACAAGAAGGCACAAAAACTAACATTGACTTTCGAACCTCTGTGACAATAGGATTGTCAAAATGAACAGTTTTCAGTTTCCAATTTAAATCCCAGATGAATCTCAGTGTAACTTCGATGTACGATGGTTCACAACTCATTACCTGGTTTCTGTGTCGTTAACAGATGATGGTGTTTTCCGTGAGCGTGGTGGCGTCCGTCCGTCTCCTTCTGCCTCTGCCTTTCTTCTTCTTCACGTTTCATCTGCTGCTGCCTCACGATCTCCTTCTCCTGGTCCAGGCTCTTGTGAAGGAGGAGCAGTGCTCTCCTCTTTTCCTCCAGCTTGTCGTCCTCCACCTGTGTAACCCGCTCCTCTTGCGGAGTCTCGTTCTGCCTCCGTCTGCCCTGACCTCGAGGGTCCGGATTTGGCTCCTTCGTCGGTCCGAACCTGCTTCCAACTCTGTGATGAAGGGCTTCCTCCGTGGGACTGTGTTTGACAGGAGGATGCTGAGTCACGGGCCGAGACACGTCGCTGCTGTGGTTCTGGGTCAGTTCAGACTTGTTTCCTCGTGTGTCTGCAGCAGCAGTTTTGTCCTGGTTTCCCTCGGTGTCGTTCAGCAGCGGTCCGTTCTCATCCTCCACCAACTTGTTTTTTAACGTATCGACAACATTATCCGCCACAGAAACTGTTTTGTTGCTGTGGGACATGTTTACATCCTGCCTCCCGACGTTCTCTCTCCTCTCTGATTCAGTTCCCTCCACTCCCCTGGAGTTATTCCCCCAGTGTGTGGCAAAAAGAAAAGCCTCTCCGGGCCGAGGCCCGTCCGGTCCAGGGAGGCTGTAGCCTCCTTGGGGCTGGTTGAACGTGTCTCCTCTGGGACTCCACTGCTGCTCCAGCAGGTCCTCCAGGTGGGCCCTCTGGTTGTGTTTAAGCTCATCCCACTGGTGGAGCTCATCTTTGGACTGCACCTTGGCCTTCCACAGTAAACAAATTGAAACAAATTAACTCGTTAGTTCATTCGTTTAATAGTCTAACTACTATTTTTAAACCAGTGTGGTCTGTATTCCAGTCTGTCAAATGTTGACATTTTTCTACTTTTCAATTTGCAGTCATGCTCTAATCCAGTGGTTCCCAAAGTAGGGGAAATTTGCAGTCATGCTCTAATCAAGTGGTTCCCAAAGTAGGGGGTGTGGCCTTTCTTAAGGGTGTAACGCTACTGCAGTGGGGTTAAAAAATTTACTTTAATTTCATTTCTTTTTTTGTCCTTCAGTAAAGACTGTATTTATTTCCTCTGGTCGATGAATAAATCAGTTCTGTTTTAAAAATTCAAAACATTTGAAATTTTCAAAAGTGTGTTGACAACAGAAGCTCAGTTAATGTCGACTGAACACTGATTCAAATTGTTCATTGTTTCCACTCCAACAACCTGTGCATGTCCACGGTCTGCGCTGTGAGTCTGGTTCCGATGGTTCTGGTGGCCGTGCTGTCTGCGTGAGGACTTTTTCCTCGGCGGAGGCGGCGCGGGCGGACACCGGCATTCCACGTGGTCCACCACCGACACCACAGCATTGGCATAAATGGCTTTTTGGTTCATGTATTCGATCTTCATGACCTGCAGACAGATCAGAACAAACACAGGTCACGTTTCCATTCAGACACAGTGTGTGCATTTCTCAGCAGTGGAGCGTTCTGTCTGTCACCTGCAGGTGTCTGGTGTGTGTGACAAACGGGACGCACTGTAGACTCTTGGTGTTGCAGCAGCCAGAGCAGCGCTGCACTTCCACACAGGGCGGCCACAACAGGAAGTTAGCGTTGCTACGATCCAACATGGCTCTGGTGACCTCGACCACTTCAGTCCGTACTTTACAGAGAGCCTGCTGAGCTGGCTGTGCGTCTGAGAGAAATATATATATAGATAGAGATATATATTTGTTTACTACATCACTACACACTATACACAACAGTTCTGCTTTAATAGTTTTGCTGATCTAAAAAAATCTAGTGAAAACTACATTTTCCTAAAAAAAAAATTTAAAAAAAAATCCACTTAAAGATTTTTAAATGCCACCAGGAAAGTCGCCCTCTGGTGGCAAATTTAAAATCAAACAGTAATGTAACATTTTCAGAGAGCTTTTACAAATCCCATGTTTAGATTCAGTTGCTGAGATAAATACAAGAAATTATTTGTTGTTTTAAAAAAATGGAATGCCAAGGTTTTGGTTTTGAGATTGGGCCTAAAAAGAGCGTTCATCTGAGACTGGGAAAAGAAAAAGACTCACAGCTTTGAGAAATAAAAAGTTGGACCTAAACTGAACATATCTTATAAATACTAAAAACTATAAAAATTTAAAAACTAAATTTAAACACTATTAAGACTTTTCTTTAACTCTGTCCAAACCTTTGTTTGCCGTCCTAGATCATTCTTTTTACATAAAAACACTTAACAGTCAAGTATATTTAAAAAAAAAGACTTTTTATTTGCTGGAAATTCTGCTGGTGCTCAGGCAGATATTAAATATGTATTAGAGTCTTCAGTCTTTGAGGATTGATGTCTCATATATTAGACACTCAGTTCAAGACAATAGCAGAGAGAGAGAGAGGGTTGATGGACGACCGGGTGACGGTGTCATTAAAACGCTGCTCTTTTCTAAACACGACTGAACGTTTATGGGCACGAGGAAAATCAGGAATTTGACTCATACACACAGTTTAACTGAGAGGAAGGGGAGGAGGAAGTACGGGGAAGGTTGAACTCACCCAGGCTCCTCGGCAGTCTGTGACCTCCATTGGCTGCAGACGTCCCGTCCTCCTCATCTGGGACAAGAAAAATAAAATAAACAACATTTCATAAGAGAGGATTTTTTTTCTAGTTGCTGTTTTTGGACGTCTGCGTCCACAGAGACAGAATACTCACAGATACACAGAGAAGGCAAATGTCTGAGGGTCAGAGGAGACGTTTTATGTTACGTGTGTTGACTGACCCGTACTTGTGGGGACACATTTTTGTTCAAAACTGTCATCGTGAGGACACCTGTCCTCGTGGGGACATTTTGCAGGTCCTCACTAAATAAGAAGCCATTTTGAGGATCGGGGTCCACTTTGAGGTTAGGGTCAGGTTAAAGGTCAGAGTTAGAGTTTTATGGGGTGGTTAACACCCAGTTAAGGACCTGTCTGTCACAGGTCCAAACCAAAGCACAAAGATCAGTATGTATGTGTGTCCCTGGTATAGCTGTACTGTGGGAATTTTTCCCTGTGTGTGTATGTGTGTGTGAGAGAGAGAGCACGAGAGAGAGTGAGAGAGAGAGAGTTTTCATCAGTTTGTTTTAGTTGATTGTACAACTCTTATTGTTTGACCAGAATAATACAGACTGCCGTTACCTCGGCTCTACGTTACTGTTTATTCTGTTCTGCTTTGACAACTTAAAGTTCTGTTTAACGTAGGTTTTTCACCTTTGGCTGTAACATATCGTGTCATGGCTTAATGTTAGAAAAGAGTACAGCTGGTGCTGGAGTCTAAAATACCAACAGGATCTGGTTTCAGCATCAGTAACAATAATAATAATAATAATAATAATAGAAATGATCTTTACCTACGGAGTCAGAGAGCAGCAGCATCTGCAGGTCCTCTATGGAGGAGATGGGGCTGTTTCTAACCAGCTCCACCAGGGCTGCAGGCAGTGGATCCCCCTGAAACACACACACACAAATACACGGGAGGACGCTTTAAAAGAGGAGACCATTAAAAAACATAATAAACACTCAGCGAAGGTCATGAGGAAGATAAAGTGACGAAGGGAACGGCAGCACAAGGTGTCCATGAGCTGAGAGGACAAAGAGACGATGTGAGAATGACCTTCCAGTCTGTGTTCCACACAAACCGTTAAGATAAGAGGTTTCCAAACAAACCCCTTGAAGGCAGTGGCGTTTCACTGCACTACGTTTATGCAGCGTTCCACGTGTTGCTGTTCACGAACGTATAACTGATTTAACCCAGACCGGGAGCTTCCAAATGTGCAGATCTGCTATAACTGGAGGAGCGTGTTTTATCTATTATTAACTGAATCTAATTATATAAAGCTTTGCGCGGCGTTGAGATGTTTGTTTACATCCATGGTGCCTGTAAACACTGACTTAGCAACACTGAGCTGAGACTCACGTTACATTTCAGATCTTCACCATCCAAACAGCGACAAAAACAGAGGGCTTAGGTAACAAATCCTATTTCCAGAAATGTTGGAATGTTAGCATCAGCCACCGCACGGATTCATCCTGTTTTCTGTTGGTGACATGTTTAGTCCTATAGATCCCAAACGAACGGTTGGATTATTCTTTAAAAACAGCCAGATGTGTTAAACAGGGGTCAGATCTGGACTGCAGGCAGGACAGTAAAACAGGGGTCAGATCTGGACCGCAGGCAGGACAGTCCAGACACTTTATGTCAACAAGGACACACCTGTAGTTAGGGTTGAAGGAGATCTGACATTATCGTGCGAAAACAATTCCATGTTTGATGGAACTTTTTAATTCATACAGATCTGCAGCAGTGGCTGTGTTAGCAACGAGGCTATTTGACTTTGATTGGTCGTATTGGTGACACAGATACGACAAAAACTCCTTCCTGGAGTTGGACCAATCCCATGTTGCTAAACTGTATCTCCTGCAACATTTTCATGCATAATTCCATATACAGGGTCAAAGGTCAGGCTGATTCAATGCACTTTCTGTAATATTCTGACTAAAAAATAATATTTACCTGATCTCAACAAACCAACATCTTCTACTCTGTATTTCTTTGGTCTGATTGTGAATTTAAAGCCACTTCACCAAACAACCCCCCGGCTGAAATGGACATGAGAAGTGGGGTTGGGGGATTTGGGGTGGTGGTGGTGGTGGGGGGGAGGGGGGCAGCAGCCAGTATTAAGCAAAGCAGGCACACAATGGTCACTAAGAGCAGGGTGAATGACTATTGGCGTTGTGTCTTCTCATCTGCTAACATTTAGGGGTCAAAGGAGGCAGGAAGGAGTCAGGAAGTGGGGGAAGGAGTGATAGAGAGGGGAGAGAAGAGAGGTGCATCTGAAGAAGGGGGATAATGGATGAATAAAAGACGGCTCTGAACGGACCAGGATCAGACGTGGGTCGACACACACTTCCTCACGCGGCTTCTCAGCAGCTTTGTCACCTCACAGCGGGGCGACCCAGCGACAATGATCTCCAGAGAACAAACGTGAGCGGCGTCGTGGAGCGGTGACTCAGATGCGTACGTTCGTCTCTAACAGAGATTCATTCTACGGTGCAGGTTTATCCCTGACCCTGTTTCCCACTCAGGTTCTGGTAAAATATGAGAAATCCTTACAGGAAGTGAAGTCCAACGAAAGGAAGCAGCCGTCTGTGCAGGAGCATGTGTTCTCACCCTGCCCACACTGTATTCTTCTGGCTTTCCCCCATTGTTGGTGGACCGTTCCTACGTCCAGTCAAACGATCCCAGAGGGAAATCCCTGCTGTATTACACTTTACTTCAACTTCTCTGCCGCAGAACTGCCGCTGCCCCCCGAGGAGTCGTCATGATTATTTCCCTCCCTGGTAAATTGTGTGTGTGATGTTAATTATAGGATGTGTGTCTTTGTTCACACTGGTGCCTGCAGTCGTGACGATCTGTGTCTGAGCAGGAAATATTAAATAAACACTTTGGTTCTGACAAATGAAACAGATGGAATCCACACTGACAGATCCTGGAAACAAACCAGTCCAATTAGAACCAACGAGGGGTGAGTTCGTTGGAATTGAACATTGAATGACACCTTAATTAGGGGTTTAGATTTTGACGTCCCTCCGTTTTAATCACATCTCAGATAAATAAACATGAAACTAAATGCTGAAGTGACACAAAGTTTTTAATATGTCACATCTCAGATGAATAAACATGACCTGAAACTAAATGCTGAAGTGACACAAAGACAATTTGAAGAATCAGAAGAGCGACAAAAAAAAAATGATACAGACTGTTTTTAAGGATTTGATTAAAAAAGTTGACGTTTCCTCATCCTCACATTCAGTGTCCGAGTGTTGACTTTAGCTGTACCGAAACTGTTAGCCTGTTTTACGTAATGAGTTAGCGCTAATGTAGCAAAGCTGACGTAGCAGCAGCAGCACGGCTATAAGGCTAAACTAAAAACCACGTAAAAGTTCAAAATCTGAACTTTTGTTTCTGGTCTAAATTATTATTATTATTAATAATAGTGTTGTTATAATAATATTATATTGTAATATTGTTAAAATAATTATAATAATTGTTGTTGCTGTTGCTGTTGTTGGATCTGGATCCACAGCTCTGGTGGTCTGAAGCTGCAGTTTCCTACACGAACATACTTTCAAATTATGTCTCACTTGACAAGAAGAGTGAAGACGTTCTCTTATAAAAAATAAAAAAATGCTCTTCCTGTGAGAGACGTGACTATACGTACAGGTAGTAACTTTAAATTTCGACACGGGGGAATTCCATCTCCAAGTCTTTGTACTTGTTAGATTTAGGTTTTTTTTCTTTAGATCAGCCATAAAACAAAAACACAGGTTGTCAGAAATGTTCTTCATGTTTGTACGTGGAACACAATCTGGCTCCTCTGTGAAGGAACCCAGGTGAGGTTGGCATCGCGTTGACATATTTAGCAGCTCGTGTTTTAACACTGTTGCCTGTGTCTGCCAAAAAAAAAAAAAAAAAAAAAAGATTAAAATCTTTTTGAGTCATACTGCTGTTTCTGGCCCTGGATAAAAAGCATTGGTAACATGGCTAACTACTACTATCTGTTTCTGGCCCTGGATAAAAAGAAGCCGTGGCATTGGTAACATGGCTAACTACTACTACTACTACTACTACTACTACTACTACTACTACTACTACTACTACTACTACTTTACTTAGTTTGTTCAAAGTATTATTCATCATCAGTTTTCACCTGACATTGACCTAAACTTTGGTTTATTTTTTTTATTGTTTTCCTCAGCAGATGACTGGAGATTCCATTGTGTCACATTGTTCACTTTGGCATCAACTAAAAAGACAAATATTTATGGTCACATGATCAAAACTACAATAAATGAACAGTTTTGGACTCTAAGGTAATAAACAAAACCCAAGTCTTTTTATATAAATATTATAACTGCGTGTACATGACCGATGAGTTGTGGGTTTTCACTGATTCTTTAACTCCGCCTTCTGAATCAGAACCCAGGGCATGGTGGTGACCTCTGTCTCTGTGCGGGCGCTCCGTCCCCCACAGAGGGAGACCTCTGCGTGTTACTGCCCCCCGGGGCATCCATTCATAATGACAGTTAATGGCAGCAATAACTGTTATTTTCTCAACCCTCTAAAAAGGGATTTTAAAGCGAGATCGAGGGCAAACCGCACGATCATATTAGCACATGTCCCGTCCTGACGCTAATGTCAACATGCTAAACACCAGCAGCACACGACTGCGGGATCACCTGAACACAGGAGAATCGAACCCCTGCCATCTGGGGCGTGAAGGTGAGTGTCCTATCCACTGAGCTACAGTCAAACCTGAACATAAACAGGTTACATTTTTCACCTTTATTTCCCTGACTTTTCTGTCAAGAAGACAATCATAAGAGACCAACTGACAGTTTTATCAAAGTTACAGAGATGTCTATCTGAGTTTAAAAAACACGTTTTCAGCCAAGATATAGTATCAACATTACCAGCGTGTATGTAGTTCAGTGTGTGTTTCTGTGTATCTAAAGTGTGTTAAATGGCCATTTTGTTTTTTTTAAAAAGTTGTCCTGAATAAAATAACACTTTAATAATAATAATAATAATAATAATAATAATAATAATAATAATAAGTCCATTTAATTCCAGTGGTAAATGGATGTTTGTATCCAGATATTCCTCTGATATTTTTAGGTTGGGACCTGTGCTGCCTGACCAGTAACGCCTCCGACACAGGCGTCTGTATCTGAGAAAGTTTATCACACAGTGACTGGTGCCAGGACTCACCACGGCCACGCCAAACCGCAGACACGCCGCCAGCACCACGAGCAGCAGCAGCTGTACCCACGAGCTCATCTTGCTGCCCAGCCTCGAACCTCTGCGACGGACCGGGCATTTATGGAAGATCGGGAGAGTCTCCCTCCTCAGCACTGCGCACCCGGGACCGCGGCTCTCCCTGCGCAACTGGCGCACTTTGGTAAGTGCCCGTGTCCAGAGGGTCGTGTCCCCGGGGAAGAAAGCTGCTCTGTCCGTGGCAAAATTACTAATAATAAAAAATTGGCGCAAAAAAACAAACAAACAACCCAAAACAACCAAAGGTTCTGTCTTCAGAGTGACGCCGAGTCTTTCATGCTAAGACTTCAACTAAACGCGCAAGTCCATGGTATTACATTTCTGGGAAACAAATGTCCAAATAATCAAAGATTAAAAACAATCCATTCCTTTCTGGAAGAAAAGTTAAAAATGTATTCCAGTCCAAAGAGTCCAAGGAACAAATCCCAGCAGTTTTCAGCTTTCTCTTTAACCGTGATGTGTCCAGAAAAGTGCAGCTCTCGGTGCAGCCTGCGCTCCTCGTCGTCTCTTATCAATAAGCAGAGCGCAGTCTGGCTCCGTGCGCCTCAGCCCTGGACCTGCCTGATTACGCAGCAGCAGCAGCAGCAGCAGCAGCAGCGGTGGTGGAGGTGGAGAGGAGGTGCTGCCACTGGTGGTGGTGAGGGGAAGAGCAGTTTTCTAAGAGCGCGTTCAACTGCTGCTCTGCTCGACAGCTTCTCTCTCCCGCCCCCTGTCTGAGGACCGGATAATAACGTGTGCTCAAAGGAGCCTCATTATTTGCCCACCGACAGACGCCTCCGAGCAGCAACAGCAGCAACAGCAGAAGCAACAGCAACAGCAGCAGAAGCAGCAACAACAGCAACAACAGCTTTTTCTTCTTTTCTCTGTATATATATGTGAATTATATTTGCAGATATTTCTGAGTATTAGCATCGTCTCATGTTTTTGGAGTCCAAAACTGTTACTATACTGTGAATGTGAATTATACTTGCAGATATTTCAGAGTATTAGCATCGTCTCATATTTTTGGAGTCCAAAACTGTTACTATACTTGGTCCCATAAAATACCCAACCAGTACCATCTAGTACTTCTAAGACATATAAGCTCATAATCAAGTTGTATGCAAAGATTCCTGGGGTCACAGTCTAATGGTTTTTGCCCCCTGACGGCGGGGGGGTTGGGGGTGGAGCAGGAAGCCCCCTCTATAGATCATGTATAGAATTGAAGCCCCCCCTCTATAGATCATGTATAGAATTGTATTTTATACATATGTGATGTTTCTTTTTATTTTGTCTTCAATACTAAGCAAATCAAAGAATACTTTAATATATAGTCAAATAATACTACATTTAAGACGGAAATTTCTACAACAAACATAAATGTTTAGACTCACCATTTTTGTTTATGGATTAAATATTTAGTTTGTATGAGCTGCAAAATATTTTATCAGGTTAAAACAGTAGACAAGAAAATAAACATTTGATGATTGAGTGATGCAAGAGTCACATTAGCTTCCAGCAGCGTCCTCACTTATGAATAGCCCATAACACTAAATGTGGCCTGTTGTGTAACAGGTCTGTGTGCAGCTACTATTACTGTAGAGGTCAGAGGGATAGTTGCCATGCCGACCTGGCTATCAGGTAGAAAAGTGTCTAAATATCACAGCGGTTATTCTCAGAGCCCTGACCTTTGACCGTGTTTAGGGAACATTTTTGAACAATGCCCCGGGGCCACTCTGTATGTTTAAACTCAAAATCATCAGCATCAGCCGACGGCGGCGGACACAATATTCCACGGTGGCGTTTGAACCACGGGAAAGGGCAACAGAAAAGTAAATAACACATGAAAAAAAAAAGAAGAAAAACACACAGCACCACCACCTGGTCAAACTGATCCAAATGATAAGATTTTTCTTTTCCTGATTTTGATGGATTTCTGTGATATTTTTAATTACAGCGTCACTTTAAACAAAGTTCCAGCGCGGAGTTAAGTCTTTTCTTCCACTTGAGTCACAGCCCAGTAAATAATAGGAGGCCATTGTTTTTCTAACAAGAGTCAATGGAGGAAACTGCATGAGCTACTGTGCTATATTTACACACGGTTCATCTGTGCACGTTTAACCCAAGGCCAGTGGTACTATGGGGTGAGGGGGGGGGGTCGTGATGCCAAAGGAGTAATTAGCAACACCTAAAGGTACAGGAAGTGAAGTACAGGAATACTGTACGACACAGTCAGATTGTCGAGCGTTCTCATGGATTTCTACTGTATATAAAATATTGGAAAAACAACAGTTTTTCTGTTTCAAACACTTCTGTTTCAGTGAGTATCTGAGGTGTATCTTACCTGGTATGTTTGCCGGTTCCATTCCTGACTGCCACGGTTCTGCCGTCGGTGTGGAGACGACACAGAACGTTGTTTCGGTCGACGTCAGGTGAAGGAAAGTCTCTAAAGATAAAAGACAGAAAATGTATTATTTTTACAAATGTTCTTAGCCAAGACAAGGTTGAAGGTTTCAAGATAATAAAAATAATAATAAACTATTACTATTAGGAGGTTTTTTTTTATCCTGGATATTTTAGTTTCACGCCAATATTTAGGCAGGTTCTTGACTGGAGGTAGGGATTTTCCCAGCAGGACCTGCCGTCACATCACACCATCATGGACTCTCTCTCTCACACACACACACACACCTGCATCTGATACATCTGAACCAAATCACATTAAACAGCAGTGATTCATCTCAGCGGTGACAACTGCCTGGGAAACATGCACCTGTACCAGGTTTTTTTTTTTTTTTTTTTTCTCATGTACGTGCCTGTGTGTGTACGAGTGTGTATTTCTGTCAGAAATCAGAAATGACATCGTACGTGTACGCGCTCCTCTTAAATCACACTTTTGTGAAGGACAAATTAATGAAACGCCCCCACATTCACTGCACACACACACACACACACATGTACACGTGCTCGGCGTCCAGAACCGGCAACCCCTTTTTTTTTTTCACCCGTGAATGGAGGACAGAGAGCTCCTTTATGTGTAACAATCGAGTGAGAAATGACAGCACTCGCTCAAATATTTCCGAGCTTTTCAGAAGTTCCGGAGAAGGTCAGAGCAAACAGAACCAGCCTTCCATCCGAACAATGATGCCATTTGATTTCACGCATTTCTCTGCGGCGGCCGGCTGCAAGGCTGCACT